CCCAAAGTATTATTATTGTTTACTCTAAAGTTGTATATCCTTGCAGGCCGTACAGACTTTGGTCAACGCTGCTACAAATGCTTCAAACCAGGCCACTGGGCCAGGGATTGCAGGAGCGGATCCTCCTATGGCTATTATCAAGGAGCACCCTGGTATTCTAATAGAGGAGGAGGAGGAGGAGAAAAGGCGTCCACACAAGCTAAACAGTAATGCAAACATTATAAGTGACCTATTAGAGGTAAAAGAAAAATATGAGTATTCTAAAAATGACAATCTTATTAAGGTTAAGGGAAAACTTAAGGATAACATCCAATTCTGGATAGATATAGGTGCATCGAATTTCATACTTAGTATTATACGTAATGGATATAAATTTGCATTTATAACTCCACCCTGCGCCAAAGATTTCAATAATAATAAGTCGGCAATTCATAACACCAGCTTTGTTGAAGAAGCCATATTGGAATTAATCAAAACGGAACGGATTGYGGAAGTTTATACACCACCGATCGTAATTAATCCACTTTCGGTATCTATACAGAGGAGTGGGAAAAAGAGACTCATTTTGGACTTAAGATATGTCAACAAGTATCTTCATAAATACAGATTTAAGTACGAGGATTGGAAAATTGGTCTGTCCTTTTTTGAAAAAGATGCTTACATGTTCTCTTTTGATTTAAAAAGTGGTTACCACCACATAGACATCTGCAAAGAGCATCAAACATATCTGGGATTTAAATGGAAATTTAAGGATACAGGAAAGGAGCATTATTTTGTGTTTACGGTTTTACCGTTTKGTTTGTSAACAGCCCCATATATTTTTACGAAATGTGTACGCCCATTAGAAAAATATTGGCATCTATGCGRTATAAAAATTGCCATTTTCTTAGATGACGGTTTCGCAGGAGTACAAGGCTATAAGGAATGCGAAGTGGTAGCATCCAAAGTACGGAAAGATTTGAAACTTGCAGGCTTTGTAGCTAATGAGGAAAAAAGTAATTGGAAACCAGAGAAAAGTATTACATGGCTAGGGATATGCTGGAACTCTGCAGATGGATGCATAAGCATTACTGAGAACCGGTTAGATAAGATATACGAAGATATTGAAATTATCTACAAGAGCGATTCTATCGTAAGTGCACGACAATTGGCTTCATTTACGGGGAAAATCATTTCAACCGGTGCGGTTGTAGGAAATATTAGCAGGATTATGACTAGACATTGCTGCATGTCAATCGCTGCAGCAGAATGTTGGGATAAACCGTTTAAACTTGATTTATATTCAATTAATGAAAGTAAATTCTGGGAGGAAAATATGAGGAAAGCCAATGTTAGGTATTGTTTTAATACTAGCACGCCAAAATGCTTTGGCTACTCTGACGCAAGYGGCACTGGCTGCGGAGCGTATACAATYTTGAACCAGGAGTATGTATGCCACAATATGTGGACAGAGGATGAAAAGCGCAAAAGTTCTACATGGCGTGAATTGTCTGCGATAGAATTTGCATTGAGTTCACTTGTGAATCTACTAAAGGAAAGCCATGTAAAATGGTTCACTGACAACCAAGCGGCCGCAAAGATAGTTGAAATAGGCAGCATGAGACAAGACTTGCAGCTGATTGCCCTAAAAATCTTTAATATTTGCATACAGCATAAAATACACTTAGAAATACAGTGGCTGCCCAGAACCCAGATGGAGAAGGCTGACTTTATAAGCAGAATGATTGACATAGATGATTGGCAAATAACAACTGCACTCTTTGAAAGAATAGAGAGGTTATGGGGGCCGCACACTATAGATTGCTTTGCAAATCATTACAATTTCAAAACTRATCGTTTCATATCACGTTTTTGGACACCGGGGTGTGCGGGTATTGATTTCTTTGTTCAAAACCTTAAGGAAGAAAATTGTCTGCTGGTTCCGCCGATAAGCCTGATATCGAGAACGATAAATTACATGGAGCTGCAAAAGGCAATAGGCACGCTTATAGTCCCTTTTTGGCCATCGTCCAGTTTTTGGCCATTGTTGACAAGAAAGTGTACACAGAATCTATTTGATTATAGAGTTTATGAGGGAGATGGATTGAAACATGGACGTAACAGCAACTCGCTTTTAGGATCGAAGAGATTTAAGGGAATGTTATTAGSTGTGAGAATGGATTTTCGTGAAGGCACTGGCCCAATGAATTATGCTACAGGCACTGGCCTGGTCAAATGAAATGGAATGCAAGTAGATTGGGGCACTGGCCCGCTACAATACGAAGGGCACTGGCCCAAGACAATTTAAAGGGCGCTGGCTCGTCCTGATAAGTCAGTGTTATTAATTTTATATGTTCTTCAATTTCATTCATTTTCAGATTGTAGAGAAGTGYGTGCATTGGAAAAATGTGCCACCAGCTTTAAAGGAGTGTAGAAGACAAGTGTTGGAACAGATCTTACGTTCTCGGGCAACTTCTACTACAAAGAGATACCTCGCTGAAATAAAGAAGTTCTTTGAATGGTGCAGAACCAATAGGATTCAAACAAGACTACCTTACGAAAGTTCTATAACAGCAATCTACATAGGACATGTGGCAAAACGAGTTAAATGTAGTCAATCAGTTGTATTAACCTTTTCAGCACTGAAATGGTTACATAGTTTCATACCAGGTACCAATCCCCTAGACAGCGAMTTGTGTAGAMATATTGTGGAAGCAGCTAAAAGGGATAAAGGAAAACCTATAYCCAAAARGAATCCAGTTACCAACGATATGATTAAGAAAATCATAGACAAACACGCCAACGAAAATTGTAGTCTTAAAGATTTACGAATAGCTACTATGTGCACCTTATAGCTTTCGCGGGTTTCCTGAGATATGATGAATTCTCTAACGTTCTGGGTAAACATCTAAAATTCTGTGATAGCCATATGTCTATATTTATCCCTAAGTCTAAGACCGATATATATCGTGAAGGGAACATTGTTTACATTGCACGTTCACATAGTAAACTCAGTTGTCCTGTAGATTTAACCCTGAGATATATGTTAGAGGGNAACTTCTACTACAAAGAGATACCTCGCTGAAATAAAGAAGTTCTTTGAATGGTGCAGAACCAATAGGATTCAAACAAGACTACCTTACGAAAGTTCTATAACAGCAATCTACATAGGACATGTGGCAAAACGAGTTAAATGTAGTCAATCAGTTGTATTAACTTTTTCAGCACTGAAATGGTTACATAGTTTCATACCAGGTACCAATCCCCTAGACAGCGAATTGTGTAGAAATATTGTGGAAGCAGCTAAAAGGGATAAAGGAAAACCTATATCCAAAAAGAATCCAGTTACCAACGATATGATTAAGAAAATCATAGACAAACACGCCAACGAAAATTGTAGTCTTAAAGATTTACGAATAGCTACTATGTGCACCTTAGCTTTCGCGGGTTTCCTGAGATATGATGAATTCTCTAACGTTCTTGGTAAACATTTAAAATTCTGTGATAGCCATATGTCTATATTTATCCCTAAGTCTAACACCACCAACAGTACTATATCTGAAAGACTGTTAAAGTTACATGGAAGGTGGAAAACCGATATTGCCAAGGATATGTATGTTCACGAAGATATTAAGAGAAGATTACAAGTAACTAATAGTTTGGGCCTATGATTATTATGGCCATTATTCATATAATTTGATAATTAATACTTCATTGATTAGATTAATTTACTCAGTTTTATTATGCGTCTATTTATTGTGACATAACCAATGTAAAGAATTATTCAGTAAACTCATGCTACTCTGCTAGAGTATCCATCCTATACTGTTGTAGTTTTATGTCTGTTACAGGGAGTATAAAGAGCAAATTAATTTACGTTCGTTTGAACGAAGTGAATTAGAACGTAAGTTTCGTTTTATAACCTCTTCAATTCCTAAATTTAGGAAATTGAGTTTAAACTCTTACACATAATGAAATTTAAAAGATCTTTTATAATCCAACATAAAAAAGATATATCAAATAAATTTTTTTATAATTCTGTGTACTCATGCATTTGTGTACTACGAGGCTAACTGGAAGGAGAAAAACGTGTAATAAGTTTCTTTTAAAAATTTGTCATGGAAGGAAAAATAAACAAATAAAAAAGCGGGGTTGAATACCAATGGGTATTTCTCAAATAATTATTAATAATTATGCTCAATATTCGTACAAAGAAATTAAAAGAGCGATATACAGCTATTTCAAAAAACGTTGTCGGGGAGAACGGCGAACGGCGATTGTCGAAGGGAGATTGCACGACCGAAAGGGACTATGGTTACACTGTTTTGATAAACAAAAGTTCACTTATTGGATTAGCCTTACATAGAAATGGAGACTAAAAGGAGCCAATGTTTAACACAGACCATCTTACAGTACAAATCAGTTGTTATTGCCTTTCAACTAGCAAAACCCATGGCTACTTTCGGTCGTGCAATCGCCGTTCGACCATTGACATTCGCCATTTTATCCGACAACCTTTTTTGAAACAGCTATATATACCCGGGGATATGTAGGAAATGTCCTAACTAAAAAAATATTAGCCGTTTTTGCCCACAAAAACGTTATATAAGCCTTCATTAACCTTAAAAACGTTTGCCAGGAACAAATTATTTCAAAGAATGAAGGGCGCCACATTTGCTTGTGAAATTGTCAACAATGTAGATCAAAATTCGCACAAGATCAGTTATTTAGAAGAACAGATCCCGTCGGCTCTTGTTATTGGATTGTTGTTTACAACTGAACAACGAAAGTGATTGACTGTATTTGAAACAAATGAAATAAATTTGAATCAGCTCATTGACATTTATATGTTGAAGTTGAATATTTAACTGAGCTTCATAGACATAGTTTTTTGATGCAAAGAATTTTTTATTGCCGGTTAAATCATACCATATTTGTCTAACACAAGAACTTTTTAGCCTCAGAACTAAACGTCAGGCAATCGATTTTTTGTGAAAAATCGTCGAAACAACCGTAATTTCAATAGATAGAACAAGAACTCGGGATAAAGACAAATTGTAAAGACCGACATAATACTGTTCGACAAATTTTGCATAACCAAGCAGGGCAAACGGTAAGCAGAAAACATTTACCGATAGAGCATTCGAAAGCGGAAACAAAAGATAATAGTGAGATTTCATGGGTTAAAAACGTGTAATATTCCACTTACCTTATGTATTAAACCGAACTCTGAGACACTCTCTGTCAAAATGAATTACCCGAAAATTTCACCTTTCTTAAAAACAACAATGTAAAATGTGGTAGGCTATGATTGGTTGATTATTGCATATCACACGGGGATTCCCCTTCACAGTCAGTGTGACATGGCAAAAAATAGTCGCATTACAAAGCAAAAATATGGTACTATCCCAGTGACAATACCTTAAAATAAAATGCCGCGTATGGCACTTTTTTGTGCCAAATTGCAGAAAGAAACAACAAGCAAATAAGGAAAAATAACTGACGGTATAACAAAAAGCCGGTTTGAAGGGCCGGTTCACAATATAAAATAAGCAGAAGCGGAAGTCAAGAACAAAAGAAAAGACAAAGGAATAAAATCAAGCGTGCACTGACATAAGCATAGCAATAACATAAACATAAGCTAGTTAAAGACAAAACAACACTCATTTCGCTTTTTCCGTGCTTAGCAGTTTAGCCCGTGCATCTATAACTCGATGAATGCACGCTACTTAGTATGGACCATTTCTCATAATTCGATCCGTGTTGTATTACTATTTATACAACTTTTCAGTAAAATCAGACGTTTTGATTGGTTGGCTTTCGTTTGTTATCAAAGTATAGATACACGGATTACGTCAAAACTAATTGTTTGTTGTATAAAACAGATAGATCTCATTTTTCCGTGCGTGTGCACTCTAATAGATACACAGATGACGTCAAAATGTAGTGAGAACAACAGTCACGCACTCGACTGCGTCTCGTGCGTACTTTTTTGTTCTCACTACATTGTGACGTCATCTGTGTATCTATTAGAGTGCACACGCACGGAAAAATGAGATCTATTTGTTAAATACACCTAAATTGGAATAAGGATGACGAAACACGTTTTGTCAAAAACTCAACTTGTCATTTTGTTGTTTAAAATATCAACGTCATTTGTTCAATCATTTGCACTGAAATTATACATGCTTAATCAAATTCCAACATAAGTTAAGGCATATTTTGCTGGAAACTTCAAGATAGAATATCTGGTTTCTAAGAAAACATCGACGAAGTCGTATGCAAATTAATCAAAGACGAATCTCTTGCTCTTGAAGATGCCGTCTCGGCAATGATTTTCCATTGTATTTACCTTGTGAATTATTAATGAATTTGATAATCAATTTTAGGAAAGCAGTGAGGTACTTTCTCTGTAAATTTAGCATATGCGACCTCCCGTGACGTGTTTTTGCTTGTTCATCAGGTGATGCAGGTATGGTCGACCTTCAGTTATAGTAACGTTAGGATAAATTACGAAGAATATTAGTAGCTACAAAGAACTCAATCTCCTAACATTAGCCACAAAAACGGCAAATCAATGCTGTTTTATTTTACATAACACCATTAATCTAACAATGTATTAACATGAAAAACCCTTACAGTTTAAGAGGAGAGAGTTAGTTTCCCAACAACATAAATTTTAAACTAGCTGACATGCAACATCTTTCACATTATGCATACAACCACGGGCCAACTGACCATTACGTTCGGATTCGCCACGTGCAGTAAAAAAGTGTGTTTGGTTCGTTAATTGGTATATAGCACGCAAAGCATGACAGTCTGGTATGGCCACTGAAAGATGGTCATCTTGTTCAACTCGAAAGCGTTTTTGAATTTGCATTCTCTGAGTACAATATTAGCACCCAATTAAAATCCAAAGTGCCTTTATATTCTCCACGTAAGTAACCATCAATTGTCATTGAGGTTTTAAAACGTCTTTATTATTAAAATTCAATACTTGTTGAAGAATTTTTAGCATAGTTATTTGAAGTGCATTGCTTCTCGTCAAGTTCCCAAGGCAAAAATAATCCCTCGATACTACTTAAATTTCCTTGTAGAACGTTGTGTTTTGATAAAACCACTCCAAACTGTTTGATGCGGTAAGTTTGTGGATTCATCGCATGTAAGCCCCCATAACCACTGAAGGATTCTATTTTAAGTATTCTAAGTCTTAATAATCCAATCACAGTCTTGGCCCATTATTTCCAGTTCAGCTGTTTGGACTCCGATTACCTAAACATGCTGGGACAAACGCTGGCGCATGGATCCAATCAAGACTGGAAAATATTATGCCAAATTGAGATAGAGTTAAAAAGCCTTCGAAGTTGACTGCTTTGCTATCTGAGGTAAAGGTAAAATACGTCACTCTCATTACTTCGATACATTTGACTAACTTACATTGATGCGTTGTACGATGGCCTTGAGTTAATGTTACGCCATTAACGCTATAACTATTTTTTTCAAGATTCGATATTACACATGGCTATGTATGATAATAATAAAAAAGAAAATCAAATATTTTTTCATCAAGTTTAGAATTATACGAGATTGAAATACGATAAAATAGTTAGCTTAAAAAAAACAAGAAACTATTGGCAACCCAGATATTAAATAAAAACTAATTTTTATTTAACCTGAAAGCGGGACGCTTAATTTGCAAGCTAGTTGAATCCAATTGGGTACAATTTATTATAAGCAAGTCTATCACAATGCGATTGTTCCAGATTCAAACAATTTGAATTTATTTTCGGTAGCGAAATGATTAAACAAAGTATATGAAACTGGATATATATTCTTCTGTATTCAAAGTGAGTCTAAATCTGACAGGTCCTATAAATTATGAAGAACTGGGGTTGTCAAGTTGTCCTTCTCCTTCTAGTCTGCGAGCTAGCGTCGTCAGCTCGACTTAAACGGTAAGTGAAATAAAACCTCTTCATGATACATTGCTACAAAAAAACACTTAATTAATTGTCAAGCCAAACTTTCCGACGAATTTGCCGCGTTGTCTGCTATCCCGCATTAGCTAACAAACAGTTGAAAAAAATGATAAGTGTGTATGAATTGCAATGTTTTTGACACTATTTGCGGCCAGTACATTTTTATTTTCTATATTCACTTTTTTTTATTTAAAGTGTAGGACCGCCTTATTCATCGAATTGATTTGTTTATATAAAAATTGCTTCTAAAACTTTTTGTTAATAAGACCATTGAACAATTCCATTGGATTGGTTTTACTATTTTTAACCAGAATGTTATCTAAAGTCGCTATTTGTTCATTTAAGCAAAATATTTACTTTATACTTTCACAATTTGCTTATATGTGATAAAATAAAAGTCTTCAGCCCTCAAAATGCTATTTTTTCCCTTATTATTATTTTTCATGGTTACTTTTAGCCATAAATCAACCCTATTTCCTACATTTAGATATTCTTAATAGCTTAAATCATTTTAAATGTCACAAATTTGAGAACCGCAGCGCGCCAAGACATTGTTGAATTCTGAACAATGAAAACATCGTTAATATTTAATCGCATTTTTTTACATTCAAAGGAACATTTTTTATTTCCTTTTAAAACCAAACTTCTACTCAATAACTCCTTAATTATACTTCACTGCTAGAAAAGATTTTCTTTGGTTTAGAAGAGTTATTATATTGCTTTTGTTAGAAGAAGTCGCCCAACTTTGGAAATACTATAGTCCAAACAGCACGCGCGCACTGATTTCACCCAGAAAGAACCCGAAAACAGCTCACCGCAAATTTCCACATTACACATTAATCTTAAAAAAATCCTCGAATTCGTCCCGCTAAATTCGATATTATGAATTTGTATCATAGAATCTCTATTTTAAAATTGCTTAGGAGAAATAAAAGGTTAGAAAGGCATACGAAGTTGTTGTTGAGTTTCAAAATAGCTAAACTGACTCGGAATGTTTTGTGTTTTTGGTCGCTACTATAACAACGTAATTTACGGATTCCATGGTCAGGTGTGGAAGTTACAACACCTGCTAGTCCCGCCAAAATACACTTCATTTAGTAGAAATTATTTGTGTTTTAATTTACAAAAACTCTTTCTAAAAGGATATAAAAACAAATTACAGAAGCAATTTTTTTTTTACTTTGTTGGATTCATAAGCTTGCGTGAGCTAGTTGAGACACATGGATATAGCTGGGAGATTCGAATCCATTGAGTCGGGCCGCTTTTCAAAGAATTGATAGTTCTCGCGCGAAAATTAAACTCTTTCGGCTTTGAAGACATCTAAGAAAGATAATTAGATGTCTTCAAAGCCGAAAGAGTTTAATTTTCGCGCATCTAATTTCGGATTTGACAGGAAAAAACATAGCTGTAAATTCTGGTCATTTGTTCGGGAATTTCAATACATGTGGACAAATATTGGCCACGAAATGTTTCCTTTTTTCCGTTAACTTTCATTTATTTTTTTTCGAAATGGTTGTTGCTCTGAAACATACAAATGAGAAAGTGACTCAATAGACCACGAAACACTTTTGAGTGAACTGGAATTTTGTCCACGGAATTTTGTCTACGTCATACTAAATATCTACTTAACCGGGTTTTCCCGCCGGCACTCCCAATGAAGCGCAACAGAAAATTGCTTTGCGAGAACGTGGTATTACGTAACATTTCCTTTTATTTTGCCCGTCTCCTTGCTGCAATGCTAGCAAAAAATCACATTGCATCGCGAGCCCAAAAAAAGATACATCGTCGGTATAGTTTCACTTGATATTGATTCTGAATATTTTCGTTGATGCTGACGAGAAGGTATAGGTGAACGATGCAATAAACGTGTAAGTTTTAGGAAGATAGCAGCCCGCATCACTCTTGTAGCTACATTGTAGTTTTCTTGAAGTAATGAGTTTATTTAACCTAATTCATCTGATTTTGTGAAGTAAAACAATTTAAAACTAGATAAAATCTGATAAAAAAATGAAGTCATAAAACAAAATGAAAATGAAAAATAAAGAAATATGTTTACGAGATGGCTACTTGTGGAGTATCGCTTAGATTAGCTGCATTTTAAGACGACAATTGTTGCTTTTAATTAAAAACCTTTAATCATCCAAAGGGAATTTCTCATTAGTATACCAGCGGTAATTCTAAACAAAGCTCACTTGGTCCGCAGAAATTACATCTGATACTATATAACCAACAGCAGTTCAAACTCTCGCTTATCTATAAAAAAATATTGTATTTTGTATACTCGGTATAGAGGAAAATCTTTTACAATTTTCTTGATAGCGTCGGCCGCAACGATGATTGCAACTTTAAGAATATTGTGCTTGATTTTTCCCTTTTTTTCAGAATTACCCCAGAAGAGCTGAAGAAAAGGCAAGAAGCTCAAAATCTTTCAATTTTTGTCAACAATGTGCTCAAAACATACGACAAAAAACTACGGCCGAACGCAGGAGGTGAGTTCAGTTCTTAGTCTATTTTAGAGTCAATTATTTACGATAATTGGGTTAAAATCGCGGCACAACACTTTGACACTTTTCTGTACACTATACTATGCACCCGTCCAAACTTTAATAACAAAATTCAAAAACGTAATAAATAAATAAGTTAAAATAAATTATAAATTGCCAAAAAATTCAAACATTGATGTCAAGTTTGCTCACCAAGAATATTACATGCTGGTACAGAATACGTTGGTATATATAAAACATTCAAGAAACCCACATAATTACGCAAAAATTAGCAATGTTTCTCTGAATGGCTTATTAAATATGAAAACCAAATATGCTCCTCAGCTTTAACCAGTCAGTAACAAACAGAGTTTTCAATCTGGAGATTTGCCTGAAAACATTAGTCACTTTTAAAATAACCGTCTAGACGCCCCTTCGAGCTAGACATAGATTAAACCTTTTCCAAAACAAAAAAGAAAGAGAAAGAGGAAAACAAAAAGAAAGAGGTCGCCTTGATGTAATCACTACATCATATCAACACTATGCAAATTGTTTAGATTTCGTGATCTGCATATATACATAGCGGAGCAATAATTGAATGAAAACATCAAGTCGCACTTTTCAACTTCACACTGCAATCCTTATCATGCAGATAACTAACTTGCTAAAAAATCGAAATTCTTTCCCAGGTGAATCGACCGACGTCATTGTGGAAGGCAAAGTTGTAGCGTTTGGCGAGCTTAGAGAGGCCAGTATGGTAAGAAACTTATTTTTTATTAGCTCCGCTGCCGGTAGCGAAATAGTATCCTTGACGGTTACCTGCGCCATATTGAAAGGTAGCCGTGTCTTTACATGGAAGCGTTGAGCGTGCAATCATATATACCTGTGAATAATTGTCTGTAGGTGTGAAAGAAGGTTTCTATCATTGCACGCTCAACGGTCGTATGACTTCGATGTAAAGGCGCGGCTACCTTTCAAGATGGCGCAGGTAATAGTGAAGGGGACTATACTGCACTACTCATCGATGACTAAAATGGCGGCCTTAGTCAAAAGCAGACATAAAACTGACACAGAAGAAAGTTATCATGTATTTTGGCGCTGAATTACCATTTACATTTTTCATTTATAAACCACAATGAAACTCTTTTTATAATTCGACTTTTCTGTTTTGCTTTTGGACGCCCGACTGTCTTCCATGTAATTCAAGATGGCCACCATCCGCAAATTGCACATTTTTTCCTTGTTTGTTGTTGTTTTCTATTTGTTTGTTTGTTTTCATGCCCATATTTAATCAGCTCATAAAATAGGATTTTTCTCGCCCTAAATTGAATGGAAAATGCTTAACTTTCGCCACCGTATCTTCGTACATGTACCTCCCAAGTGTTTTCATAAGACCTTTAAATATGATGGAAATCGTCGTCTGATATTCCTTACTTAACATTCAACGCCATAACTTTATGATAAAAACGTACCAAAACGACCGCCACAATATCGTAGAGATTACATTCGTTTAAATTTTATTTTATTTTTCTAGGAATTCTCGCTCGACATCTTCTTTCGGCAATGGTGGTATGATCCTCGATTCGCCCACAACTTTAGTATTCCATTCAACATGGCGGCGGATGCAACAAAGATCTTCTGGACTCCAGACACGTATTTTGTGAATGTGAAAAACTCAAAATATCACTTCGTGACAAGAGAGAACATGAGGGTTAAAATAGACCCGGATGGCAGAGTTTATTTTAGCACAAGGTAGTTAATTATATTGGTAGTTATTTTCCAAAAACTCTATCACTTGACAGGGAAAATAGATGGATTCGCCTAATCAAATGACCGTTGGGCAACATAAATGGCTGCATAGCTCAGTTTGTAGAACACTTTGCCAGCATTGTAGAGGTCATTTTTTTCGGCCCTTATTACGTATTTACCAACGTTTCGTTACGTATACGTTAGAGGAAAATGGCACCAGAAACAAGGTTACGCAAAAGATGTTTGTACTACGACAAAATTTATACAAAATACGTATTTCTCCACGTTTTGTTACGTATACGTAAGAGGAAAATGGCACTAGAGACAGAACGATATTTGTACTACGACAAAAATTATACAAAAAATATAGTTTTTTTTCATACCAGTGCATCGTTCGACCTCTGTAGTTACTTTTGCTTCTGTTGTTGTTGCAGAATCACCTTAACTGCCCAGTGTGCTATGGATTTTCGTCTTTTTCCCATGGACACTCAACACTGCTCGCTTGTTATCGAGAGCTGTAAGTAAACTAAAGACAATTCCATTAGATACGTTGTCCCGAAGTCGTATAATTGGAAAAGGCACGTGTCCTGCGGCGCCATTTTTTACAGCAAAGCATGATGGGTATTAGTACTTTTGTATGCTAAAATGAAGCATGATGGGAGTTGTCGCACTTTTTCATGTCCGTTGAAAACAATCCTTAAAACTGTTTTTGCTTTTTCTCTGCAGAAATAGAAATACTTGTACCGTTTTCACAAAGAAAATATTAACGGCTTCAAGTTTAGGGAGACTTTTAGGGCCTATAAAAAATTGCAAAAACTATAAATGCCTTTATGTTCTAGTGCACAAAATGGTGTCCCTTACTACATTACCCGTCATATCCTTTGTTCGATAAGATGGCGTCGCTGTGTATTCCATATTTGCGCTTTGATTATTATTACAAATAAGATCATTAAAAACATGATAAATTTATTTTCATTTTTCTCAGATGCCTACACAGCAGCCGAGGTCAACTACACGTGGAAGATAAAGGAAAAGAGCAATGGCATAGAAATTGTATCACAGGAAATGGCACAGTTTGACTTACTTGGAGTCAAAACAGAAACCAAAGATCTTCCAAAATCAAGTATGTCAATATTTTTGGTGTGCAACCACTTGACCAAGAATCCCCTGAGAAATAACGAACAAAGCTATCGCCATGTTGGATGAATGAACAAGAGAAACTAATGAGGAACGCTTTGTGAATCTTCATCCAACATGGCGGCAATGACGTAACTTGCACTCCAAGAATCCACATAGACATGATTAGTGTTTTTAATCCGTAAAGCTCAAATATAACAAAATATATTAGATTATGTTGATTCCTTTGTCTTCTATTGTTTAACCAACATTGTTTATTTAATGGATTAAATACGACCATCTCTGAAGCTTTTAGCTCATGTACCTTAATTGCAATGCACTGTAGGGTAAGTTTGGTTCAAAACATGGCGGATTTCTTTTGTTTTCTTTAGAAACTTATCCCAAATTGCATTGCAAATCAAGCAATGATGACGTAAAAGCTTCAGAACTCTACTGACAAACTGTTTTGCAACAATGTCGCAACGCAAGCTGCAATTTTTGTTGCTGTTGCTGTTGTTGTTGTTGTAAGTTGTTGTTGTTGTAAGTTGTTGTTGTTGTTTTTTGATCGTATTAACGTACCTTTAGTTTTTGTAAATCTGTTCATCGATTCACTTAATCTTCATTGATATCCACAGCTTCTTTTGCAAGTCTTACGGCAACATTTTCATTCAAGCGACGTCTCGAGTTCTTCATCTTCTCAGTGTTCACACCAGCCGTCATCCTCGTCATCTTGTCGTGGTGTTGTTTCTGGATTTCCCGCCAAGCGGTGCCCGCTCGCGTCTCTCTGGGGATTACCACCATTTTGACAACTATTTTGTTGTCTAGCTCAGTTAATCGTGATATGCCAAAGGTGCAAATAACAAGTCATTTTTGCTGTTATTTCATGTTGTTTATTAATAGTTGAGTTTCGCGATCTCTTTTAGGCTGTGTATTTTCATTTTCCTCTTTACTCAATCATGAATATCTTGCATTTGCACGGATTGTTATGGAATAAAAGAATTTATTACATGGTTTTGAGTCCAACACAGCGTAAAAGAGATCCCTAAATAGAGGATATTACATGGGCGCGCTCGTGAAAATATCAAGTTTACGAAATGGATAAATATAGGTATTTCATAGATAATTGTATGATAAAGGGTTTATTCCCCGACTTCTTTCTCGTGTCCTATTGTCAACTTTTTCATGCTGTAAGAAAAAGAAATTGAAAACATATTTTGAAGCTCGAAATTATCGGAGAAAGTAATTTTTCGGTATAATTCTAGACACCTATAATGTGTGACCAATAATTTCTTTATATCTGATTCAAGATGGAGGCTGTATTGATAATAAGATGGTTCCCTTGCATATGTATTTTTATAACTGTTGCCTTGAACTTCTGCAGGTGAGCTATATGAAGTCTATAGATTACTTCCTGTTGACGAACTTTGGTTTCATCTTCCTGTCTTTCTTGGAGTACGTCATTGTACTGAACTCTGAACCGGCGCCATCTTGGTGGAAAAAACTCATTGAACGCATCTTTAGTCGCGTTAATAATAACGTAAGTAGCGATATGTGTAGACCGTTATGCCCACAACACAAAGGATTAAGCGACATACTTGCGCAACTGAAGCAACGTTAGAAAACAAAACTGACTTACGATTTTGTCTACGTAAAAAGTACATAAAACGTTAGATTCTTGTCAAAAAAAAGCTCTCATTTGTTTGCAAATATACTGTTTTTTCTACGTAATTATTATTGTCGTATTACGTCTTTCACACGAATCATCTTACGTACTCAAAACGTATAACATTTTATTCGTGGAATTGTTTCGCTTTTATCCACACATATATTTATTTAAGTGACTAAGTACTGTTTTACGTTCATTACGTTATTCCTACAAAATAGCTTGCCGTTTTACGCACTTACGTATACGTGCAATTTTACGACGCTTTTAGTTACTTGTGCCTTTATGATATTAATGTACATTTCCTTACTTATTTACACAAGCTGTCAAAAATTCGCGTTCTCGGGCTTTCTACGAATTTCGTTTCCTTCTCACTCATATAGTTTTAAGATTAACTACATTTCCTATTAACTAACGTCATTTTGGAATGCCATGCACTGAACAGACGCAATGCCGTTTAACACTAAAGAAATTTCAATCTAAAATCATTACCAGATAACATTAAGAAACAAACTAAGACCGTTTCTATCTTTCATTCACTTTTTCTGTGTTTTAGAACGTAGAATCCACTGAATGCGTTTCTACACACAAATGCTCAGTAAGTTGGCCTTTTATAATATCTCTCCCCTAGTCACGTGATTTATGATGTCACGAGTGACGTCAAATTGTTATTAACCACAGTTCTTTTATCGGGTAAAAATGTGTAAAACTTTAAATTGAAGAGCTTTTGTGTGAAATTAAGGTGGCTCGTCAACTTTTTTGGTGAACGCAATTCTAAATAGGGGTATTGAACATGCGTTCTTACGAACGGCAATAGATTGAGCATTGCCGCGCATGTCCCCTGCGCACACAACTTCATTGATTAAATTCAGTGACAGAGCACGCACGGTAGCGAAAAAACTGATAAATTTGCCTTAAAAATAGCTCAATTGTTCACGATTTCTTTTCTAGGATTCCTCAGACCGACACCTTCACGTCCAGACCGTCGACAGAAATGGTCGTAATCGTGACGTGGCCACCGTCGTGCTACCGAAAGACCATTCAAAAGAACCATCGGTTGTCGTGGTAACAACCCATCCAAACGAGCCCGCGACAGTCACTCGTCAGCGTAAAATCGACTTAAACCAAGTCCCCAGAGCTGAGAAGCCAAAACCAGAGAACACCCCAGGCCCACCGCCAACTCATTGGGTCGATTTGGTGTCACGAGCCTTGTTTCCAGCGGCATACTTTCTGTTTCTTGCTATCTATTGGATTAGTAACTCGAGCGCGGCCGAGAATGGACCAAAACCTTGAAAACAGTCACCCGAGGCCTTACAAATGTTATTATCTACCATGTGTACAATCCTTTTGAAATTGGGGTTCGTATTTCTTCGTTAAAAAGTACCGTTGTACACGAATGAATACTAGATTAACGAAACGAACTTTCTACTGACGTAAACGTGGGGTTGTTATGGGAAAAATGATATCTTTATACCGAAAAGGATTATGGTCAAATTGAACTTAAACGTCAAAATGGCGACCGACCAAGTTTGCTTCAACGAAACACCTTTTTAATACAAAAACGTCAATTGAAGAGAACTAAGAGTTCGTTGTATATAGTCTCCATATTGTGTTCATCTTAATCTTAGTGTCAAAGAGGCTCTTGATACCGAATGAAGGTTTGTGCGTAGAAAATTCGTGAACAACATGCAGAGCCTACCAGCATGGATAAACCAAAACATGCTTCAAACTGATGATAAGGGATAATTTATTGGTATGAACTCGTACAAAACAAACCGAAACACTGTTACGAAGATGCTACGTCAGCAGCGAGAGCAAAAAAAATTCGAAAATCTAGGACGAACAAGCTTCGCCGAAAAACACCTAATCGGAGAAAACTGGATTAAAAGTGAATCTAAAATAACATGTCTTATAACGTGCACGAATTCCACCAAGATTTAATTATAAAAAAAAAATAGATATGAAAATTAATCAGAGGTTATTGACAATATTTGGTATTGAAAGCTCCACGGACACTCAAAATACCTGTCTCTACTGCGAAAACAACACACAGGGGTTTCTGATCGATCAAATTATCTGATACTGGGTTGGTCTGCCAGTGAGAATTGCGACGTCGAACTTTCTAGCGTTGTGCAATTGTGATTGAAAATGATGGATGGGTTATACATCAAAATGGAAGCGTTTTGGATATCCGTAAACGACTCAGCAAAGTCCGAATCTTCCCAGAGGCGAAGAAATACGGGATATATACAAAATATCTCAACTTGTCGCGAAATATTATTGCTGTTCAAGTTTATCTTCAGTTTTTAATGTTTTCAATGATTTTGGTTGCGCGCAAGTTGCGAGTTCTTAAAGGAAAGGTGTAAAACGAGGAGAACATTGACTCCAAAACAACAAGTTGCGAGACAAGTTGAGATTGTTTTGTCTCGTTTTTTGTCATTCGGCTTTAAGCTTCCTTTTTATTGTGCTCAAATTGTGTTTATTAAGTCTAATATTGAAGCAGACTACATGTCTTAAGTTACTTTATGATTAACCCAAGCAAAAATAAATGATATTTAGTATAAGGGGAATTTTTAAAAGCATGACTTAAAAACACATTTAACTGGTTTGCGTGTTTTATAAAATCTTCTCTCTTGTAAAAGTAGCGAATTTATTTATCACAAATTTTTAAAGTGTGTAATACCACGATATCTATGATATTATTATTATTTATAAGATATTTATAATATCGATCGGTAATATTATTATTGTATATTATTGGGTGTGAAATATCTTCACACGATAAATATCTATTGTAGATTAATAATAGATTATTATTTATTAATAACCATATAGCAGTATAGAAAAGAAAGTTCAGAAGTTATTGAAAATCGCCATTCTTCATGAATTCACAGACTTGTAGCTTCAAATAAAACCAGATTATTAAAAAAATATTTAGAAAAAAGTAATATTGTGTTATTGCTTGGTTCTTATTGTATAATGATTTTTATCATATAATTATGAAACATCTATATTTCTCTCTTTCGGAAAGTTTTACTTGTGAAACTAACACATTCGAGCTTTCTCTATATATTGGAAATAAAAAAGGTATTTTTACGACATAATTTGCTTTCATATATAATTATATGATAAACAGAATATTACATGGTCGCTTGAAGATATGAATTTTTATCTTCTYGTGTTGAAAATCGCTCACTTGTGAAAAAAGATCTTTTTTTGCCGAACACTTGGAGATAAAATCCGTATCTTCAAGCGACCATGTAATATCATCTTTTTATATATTTATTTGGTAAGAAGTGCCTTTCTGTTTTAATGCAAATTTCTACGATTATTTTAGTATTTTCTTACGGCTTTCACGTTGTATTTTCTTTCAATTTGTGCTCCCTCGAGAAAATTATGTTAGATAATAAATTCAATAAAATTAATCCACACGGTGGCAGTCATACCAGTTGGTGAAATAATGCAATTTTAGAACCTGAAGAACAGTTATTCTCGACGCAAGTAGTTTTATAAACCTTTTGGTTGCTCTCTAAAGTACTAAAGTGCGCCTTATTTGACCAATATACGACTTCAATTGAGTCCTTATTGATTTACACCACAAAAAAGTTACATTCGCGATAACATTCACTTGAAATTAACGAGTCGCGTCTGCCAATCATAGCCTACGTACAAAAAAATCCATATAACAACAAATCATTTACAAGCTACCATGTTCTTTATTGTCGAGCGGCTTCTAACAAAACAAGCCTTTTTGAAGACTAGAGGTGTGCTTATTGAAAAGGCGAAAAAAACTCCCACTTGCTTTTCTGTTGTATCTATGCGCTAATACGAAAAAGATTTGATGTAGTGACATTCAAATTCAAATTGTTAACAGCCTCACCACCTGCCCTAATGTTGAATAATTCTCAACTAGGTATGAATTGACTCCAAGACTGCATGTTGTGATCAGCAGCTTTAATTGCGTGATAGGTTGTTTCAGTTTTTCCATTTATACAAGTCTTGATAAACAGAAAACAAGAAAGCTCTGGAAAAATCGCTGCTTTACGAGCGACTCGACGAGTTCGCGTTATATAAATCAGGTGAGTATTCACACTTAATGAATTCTTGCGTTTTTCAAGTACTTTTTGTCATTTTTTTCTATTTTTTTAAACAACAGATATAATTATCATGTGTGTGATAGATCTCCAAGCGCAAAATTCTACTTATGAATAAACAATTTGCTTCGAGTTGCTATCTAACCAGACTTTTACATCAGCTTTTTGATTAATTTTAGTGGGAATTCACGTTTGGATTTTGACACTCAAACATTATTTAACGAACAGTACTAAGAACTCAAAGGGATACTTTTCAACGTAACGCAAGATAGAGAATCTCTCTCATCATTTGCTATTTGTTTATGCGGTGAAAACAGTAAAAGTTTTTATTTCTGTCTGTCGTATCATTCCTATAAAAAGGAATACATTTTTTTTAGGTTTGATAACATCTCCTCAGATTACTCCCTGTCAAATTGCAGCGTATTTTAGTCAAAATAATCATAACAGGAGCTCAAGGCAGAAGCCCAAAATAATCAATCTTAAAAAATTCAGAAGTCTAAACTATTTTAGGTAGAAATCTATTTTGAAAAAGGTTTTCGTTCACTTGTACCAGACAGAGCTCGAAATGAAACCTATTTTCACTTAAGTCCCCTAAACATGATGCGAGTCAAAACTAGACGATTTATTATTTATGGAAAACAGGTTCTCAAGAAAAGATTAAAGTCAAAAAATGAAAAAGATAATTGTAAACGTACGAATGCATAAAGATAAATGAGAAAGATAGAAGGATTTTTTGAGTTAAAAGGAAACGAAAAGAAAGAAAAAGTTGAAGTGCGAGGAGGAAAGGAAAAGAGGATAGATGGGAATAATGTTAGAGGTAAAATAGGATAGAAGAACATATGAAAAAAATATGAGTGGAGAGGAAAAAAGAACAAAGAAAGAATGATCGGAAGAAAGAGCGTGCAATGAAATGGAGGATTGAAAGAAGGAAAAAAGGRAGGAAGGGACAAGCAAACGAACGAAGGAATGGAAGGAAGGGAGGGAGAAAGGAAGGAAGGAAGGAAGGGAGGAGGGTCGAAGGGAGGGAGAAGCAAGCAAGAGAAGAAGGTAACGTAACATAAAGGAAAGATAATAAAAAAGAGCACCTAAAAGGGACTGCGGAGGCGAGCATTTTAGTCCGAAAGAAGAAAACAGAGTTCCACCTCTTCTTTCAAAATTCTTCTTAGTAAGGTTCACAGAATAAGTCATAGACATTAATTAACCTTGAGATGCTAAGAGAAATTGTTCTTATCTATACGTAGTGTCTTTAATGCTTTGCGAAGTGCCTAGAGAATACATTAACCATGTTGACAAGCAACCGCCTGTGCCTAATAAATCTTGATTGTTTCTAAATTAATCAACACTTTCATTTTCTTAGAAAGTGGCCCCAGAGTATTAATGGACAGCCAAAACCGTTTGCTGGTGGCAATCGCGTTAGTGATTGTTAGTATATGTACAGCCACTGATGTCTTCGGCAAGAATCATATGAAAAACAGGTAATTCCATCTATAGTATCGTTAACTATATACAGCAATATGCAGAAATTCTGATTTTTTTGACTCATATTTTAATTATATATAAAATGTATCAGAAATTATGGTATATCATCGCCAATATTTTTTTAAGAAAGTACTTGACAGTGCAATGCAACTTCAAAAAAAATATCACTGATGATATCCAATCTAATAATATATTTTATATATACATGAAATATAATATCTATAAGTCAAAATGGTCATAAATCCTCTGCATATTGGCGTAGTTAACACTATATATTAATCAAAATTTGCCTTACTTTCCCTTCGTAAGGGGAGGGCGGAGGGAGAGATTTGAGTCCGCTTTCTAGAGAAGTCGCAACTAAAGCAACCATTTTAGTGGAATCGTTCAATTCCGACATTATTAAAGGAATAGTATCACCCACGAAGCTTTGCGACCCATTGCTTTGAAAAAGATTGTTTTTTGATGTCACAGGTGTCGATTTTTGTTTCTTGCTTCATTGAAAGCTCAGCTATTTTGTAAATATTACTGATTTTAAAAGCCCTCTTAATGGCCCTCCTGAAATAACCATAAAAAAATTGTGTAAAATTGTGTACAAAACTATGCCGAGGCGCGTAAAATATCCAGGGTGATACTGGACCTCTTACATCTGCAAAAAAAATTCTAGCTACAAAACGTTGACAAAATCCTTGGAGCATTCCAGCGAATGTCCTCACTTTGCAAACAATTTCATCGCCCCTAACCCTCTAAATGCAATGTTGTTATTGAGCATGTTGTACACAAGCATCCAAAACAAGACCCAACATTGTTGAAACATGTTGAAAGGGGGCTAAGGGGGAAAACTGTGAAAAAATAAAGGAGAAAAATGTTAGGCTCGAGACAAATAATTCTATGTTCCAAGGTATTTTGGCAATGATTGTATCTCGCACAAATGTAATTAGGAGGGGTTTTGTTTTCGTATCACGTTTTGTATATAACTCCAGACTTAGTGGAGCCGTAGTTAAATCCTTCAAAGGTGGTATCACTCAATACATATACCTGCATATTACAGTCACCTCGTCGTAATTAGTTTCTGAGCCCTAATTAATGTCAAAGTTTTATTTCATATCCAGAGCAAATTATCAGTTTTAAGAGAAAGAGAGAAAAACAGTCAGTGGAGGGCTGGATGGTTTAGTCTGCTAGTATCAATAATGACCCAATAATCAAATTGAAGACGAAGTTTTTATTGGTGAAATTTGTTTTGAAATTTCGTCATTGATTATTGAATTTTACCTCTCGGCAGGTTGTAGTCAAATTCTAATGAATTACTATTTACTATTTAACGAGAGTGGCTAGAGTTTGATAATAAAAATTCTTCAAACACCCAGCACAACCCACGGCTCCTTCGGTTCAAGAAGCTGGAGATTTTTAGTTTTGCTCTTTTAAAAATAAAATACAATCAATTTCCCTTTCAACTTATTGGATCATGGAATTTGAATCGTTCTCAAGCGCGCTCTGATTGGTCCAATAGCATCCTATATTTCACAACCCACCGCCCTCGGTTCAAGCAGCTTGAGATTTTTAGTTTTGCTCTAAACACAATCAGTTTATATTTCAACTCACTGGATCATGGAAATTGAATCGTTTTCAAGCGCGCTATAATTGGTCCAGTAGCATCTTATATTTCACAGGGACCGCGGAGCAGGGGGGGCTGGGGGGCTATAGCCCCCCCAATAATATTTCCGACATTCTGAATTTTCTTAAATAAAGAAGCGAAGAGCCTCCTTATGAAGTCTTTGGGATTTTAATGATAATACTGCTGACCGTGTCTGTGGTAAATATGTCTTGGATAACGCCTCAAAACGCTGGAAATGRCATTTCCGAGAGTTAAGATTTCAGAAATTTCCGACCCCCCTAGTACCTCCTCGCCGCTACCCCCCCCGCTCCGCGGTCCCTGTTTCACCAGTAATAAACGTGCTCTCGATAAAAGGCATTTGTCTGTGTTAAACAAAATGGAGGATGGGCAGCCTGTGTTTTATCAGCAAAATGAATGTCTTAAAGGCCCACATGCAACCAAAAACCTTATATAAAAATTCGCCAATTAATTAGAAACCATCTTATAACAAGACAAGTTGCAAAACAAACAAAAAAAAACCGCAAATATTCCTGGATAAACGCCGGCCTTTATAATCAGGAACTTTAAATTTAATATTTGCTTCAATTTCTGCACTGCTTTTCTCCAAATATAATGCTTTATATTTTTAGAGTGGAAGCCCAAACGTCTCGCACAAGAGAAATGCAAAATATTTCAAACTTTTTAAACAATGTACTGAAGAACTACGACAAGAAACTAAGACCAAATGCTGGAGGTATGAGATATCCTTAGACAACGTGCGTTGACGCCATTTCCTACCATGATGGGAGATGGAGTTTTTGCGCTCTTTAAGTAGGCTAAAATAGTCCTCAAAGCCGGTTTTGTTTTTCAGTTTTTCACCAAAATTGAAGCAGTTGTGCTCTTTTTTATAAAGGGAACGCGACAAAAAACAGCTTTCAGAAACTATTTTATCGTACGCAAAAAATACAAGAACTACTATATATATCAAATTGGCAAACGCAAAAGAATCAAGACGAGACGCCTTGCATAAAGCTAAGTCATTCGTGAAAAGACAAAAGTGTTTAACAATTGACTAAGCTTTATGCACGGCGCCTCGTTTTGATTCTTTTGTGTTTGACTACTGAGACGAAATTCTCAAATCGGCTATAGACGAAACTGGCTTAGGAGCGTTGGTTTGTGGTTAGTGGACGATAATCAAACTACTTCAGAAGTTCAGCGAAGAATTTGTCTAAAGGACACATTTCCCTATCAAGCCTTACTGTGCAAAATGGCGTCGCTGCACAATCTCTACTGTGAAAATCACACTGTCATTGTTAAACTTAGTTTCACGGGTTTGAGTACTTTCATTGTTGCATTGTCTTTCTATTTTCTACTCCAGAAAATAGCGAAGCCTTCAATTTTAATTCAAAAGTAAAATCACTGTTGTCTGCTCTTAATCAGGGAAGCCCGTTGAAGTCGAGGTCGAGTTTAAGGTGGTATCGCTTGGCGAGATCAACGAAGCGAGAATGGTAACTTTGCTCTACATTTTGACAGTTTATAGGGCCTGATTCATTTTAATATCGCAGGCTTACGAATGAAACAAGTTATTTGAGGGTAACAATATAAGCGCGCTTGCGATATTTTTGAGAGGGCCAGCGCATCATAGTTTTTTTTCCATAACATTATATAATTGCTCGCTCAACCACCGTCTCTCTGCATGTCTACCTCCCGAGATAGCTGGGAACTATAACAAGCATTGCGAGTGCATCTTGAATATCAATTTGCACCGTAGCAAGAATAGGTTTTTGAAATTAAGATCATGGAAACACCTATCATAATTCTCAAAAATATTCTAGTAAAACAGGCCCTTGTGTATCTGTTCTCTGATATAAAAACGGTGGAGTTGTAGAGAACAAGAGAAGCAAAATGCAAACAAGCTGCAACAATGTCTCTCAGCTCTGACATAAACACATACATTAGCAAAGAAAGCGCCGACGTATATCTTTCGTATATCTTACATGTGTCTACGTAAATTTCTAAACAATAATACACACACAAAAAAAACTAAAAAAAATATTATTATCCAGGAATACACGATGGATATTTTTTTCCGTCAATGGTGGAACGACCCTCGGTTTAAACACAACTACACAGAATCATTCACAATGGCTGAGGATGCAAGTAAAATATTCTGGATTCCGGACACTTACTTTATCAACTCGATGAAGTCAAGTTACCACCGGGTAACCAAGGACAACGCTCGAATCATTATCAAACCGGACGGAGATGTTTATTATAGTATTAGGTAAGATTTTGACTGGTTGGTGGTTAATTAATGCCAAATATGGAAATTGGTATCCTTATAAGGATAGCTTTTGTTACTTTATGTCAAAAAGGTCCATATATGAAAATGGGAATATTTTGGAATAGTCTCCTTCACGGTTCCTTGGCCCACATTGAAAGGTAGCCGTACCTTTACATATCGAAGCGAGACAACCTTTGAGCATGTAATGATAGAAACCTAATGAATAATTGTCTGTAGGTATAAAATAAGGTTTCTATCACTACACGCTCAACGTTCGTCTTACTTCGATGCAAAGGCACGGCTACCATTCATGTTGGCGCAGGGAACCGTGAAGGAGACAATTCGTTGCCATATAAGTAAATCGTTGTTTCTACCAAATAAGGAAAAGCCAATGCATACATCAAACTTTCATTTACGGACAAAATTCAAGTCCAAATTTGTGAATTGCTCGCCAAATAAGGAAATAGTCCACCATATAAGGAAAAGCCAATACAGCCAATACAAAGCCAGACGTCCTTGGCATATAAGCATCCTTAATCAATAGAGATGGTTATGGCTACGGTCATGACATAAGAAAAATACAGTGCAAAAATATTTGATACCAAATTTGGTAACTGTTTGCCATATAAGGAAAAGCCAGTATCAGAAGACTTTGACACCAAAAAAGGAAATACAATTGACTCTCTTTGAACGTCCACTCTCGTAAGCGACCATCTACTGTAAGCGACCACCTTTTAAATTTCCCGTTCTAATTGCTTCCCATATAAACTCTGTAGAAAAACTCTCTCGTAAGCTACCATCTCTCGTAAGCGACCACGTTTGTCTGATCCCGAGGTGGTCGCTTACGAGAGAGTTGACTGTAATAATAGAACCTGAGAAGCAAATAAATAGATGGATTACAGATACTGTTCTCTTGTTTATAGGTTGACCCTGGTTCTTCAGTGCTATATGAATCTGTCACTCTATCCTATGGATACACAAGAATGCCCGCTTCTCCTGGAAAGCTGTAAGAACTGAATTCCTAACAATTAAGAATTTTTAGAATATATCTTTATAAACGAAGAGAGGAAAATCGGAAGAATGGTACAAATAGATAGCATACTAGTAGAGTACGCTTTAATTATTTATATTGTCCTAATTGGTTAGCTAACTTTGTCTGTCAAATTCATCAATAATTTATAATGTAAACACAATGGAGAATCATTGCTGAGACCGAAGCAAGAGATTTGTCCTGATTTGCATACGACTTTAACTTTGACTTTCTCTTAAATTTAAGTTTTTAGTTTATGTTTAAGCTTATGTTGGAAGTTGACAAGCAATATAAATTATTCGCGTCCGACTTTTATGGTCTTTAAAACTCAATTTATATTTCATAAACGGTATTGTCGGAAGTCAGCTGAAGTATATATGATAACTTGCACGACGCGCAAGCTGTTCACAGACAGAGCCTTTCATTTTATGTTTTAGATGCATATACAAAGCAGGATGTTTACTATATATGGACAAAGAGAGGAACCAATGGAATCGAGATACTTTCAAARGAGACTGCACAGTTCGAACTTGTTGAAGCAAAGACGAGAAAAATGGATCAAAACAAAATATCAGGTAGGACATCACGTGATCCGCGTGTTCCTTAATGGTTAAAGTGCGTTTTTCAACCGGCACCACTTGCGAGATTTTGTTCATGTTTGAAGCCATAAACCTACATAAGCAAAAACCTTTTTTTTTTACTTTTTATTATCCCTTKATGCGATATTATAAGATTCTTAAATTGCGACGGATGGAAACGGATTGCGAATTGATATTTTAAGTCACTACTTCAGTTTTCCTCTAGAACTCGATCGCATTGAATGCTGGTTGACAATAGTCCTTTTGAACAACGTAAAAAATGGTGTTGAAGAATTTTATGAACTATTCACAATTCAAAATGGCGGTCCAGGTTTCAAATTGCATTAATTTCTCGTAAAAAAATACATTTTCCTTAAACCGTTTTATCCATCTCTAGGAAACTTTTCTCAGCTGCTTTCAACATTCACCTTCAAACGTCGTCTCGAATACTTCGTGATCACCATAGTAACGCCAGCAATGAT